GAAAAGCTGGAGGAGGGAACTTCTCAGGCTAGTTTTCTGCCAGCAAAAACAATTCACTGAACAGCACACCAAGTTAAAATCCACAGTAGGTGAAATTCAAAGCATGCCAGCATACTGGTTAAACAGTGCATATTATTTTTCTGTACTTACTGTGCCCCACCAGAGAGCATCTGCATACGTGGAGAATTGGTTATTTGCATCTTTTTCCACCAGATAAACCAGGAAAGATGAAAAGATGAGTACTAAAAATCCTATGTACCAGGCTGTGATTAATTCCTAGATAAAAGAAATCAAAGATCAATATCCATTTGAAAGATTGAACAGAATTTCAAGGAAGACATAATGAAAATATCTATATAGTTTTTTTGGCATGTGAGCAGTTAGAAGAAAAATGCTTCTCTAAAGATGCAAATCTTCTCTAAAACTGGACCGAGTCTACTCCTCTAGTTTGACACTCCAACTTCACCAATAGCTATTGAATTACAACAGCATATCAAATACAACATTTCCAATATATTCTAAAAACTGTTCGCATTTAACATGGCTTGATGTATTTGTGCTAATGCCCATTACAACTGATGTCACTTTAGAAAATTTTAGGTATTCTGCTCAAAACTGATAAATGTTTGGGTTTTTGGCCTCTTGCTGAATCACATCAAGTGAAGATACCAGCCAGACAAAATCAGCATCTAGGATTACATACCTTGCTATGTGCATAAACTACTGAACCTAATAATTTCCAAGTGCCTCCTCTTCGGTCCATGCGCACCATACGAAGGATCTGTAGGAAACGAAGACTTCTCAGTGCTGATGTTGCAAAAATGTTACCCTGAGTTTTTGCAGAAACAACTGCTATTGAAGCGATGAGAACAATGATGTCTGAAAGAAATATATTACAGAAAACATTAATGTCCAAGTACCAATAAACAACACGTACATGTACATGAGCTGAATGAGGAGACAAAAGAGAGACGACTCCTGCGGTGGGTGGGAATCTAAAGCACTGAGATTCCTGTTTGAGTTAGGGATGTGAGGTCAGGGCTGGTGTCAAAAACTGCCTCCGGAGCCTCCAGCATGAAAACTGAGGGTAGTAAATTTAAAAACATGGATAAGAGGAGCAGTGTTGAAGGAACCTCCTGTAGGAGTGTTGAAGCCTGATGTAGAAAACTGTACAAGTCAGTAGATGGACTAGAACTTTTTCCCTTTGCATCTTTTCCCATGGCAACTTCCCTATGAAAAGGCAAAAAAGAAAACAAAGGTAAGAAAAAGTAGAGCAGCCCCAGTGAAAGTCCGGCGGCACTGGACTTACAAGCACGCATACAAGTTTCCTATGAGTACAAACACTGTGTGGTTGAGGCACGTAGTTTCTGGACACAGCTCCCATGATGTACCCTTTCCTGGAAAGGAAGAAATACAGTGCTGGGTACTCAGAAGCATTCTTTTAGCTGGCAGCCTGGAAAGTTTGTTGAAGCCCAGCAAGTGTTAGGATTTATTTCTTCAGGTCACAGATTCAAACTGTGAGAGCGAGTCTGTTCTGCATGAACTAATCAGCCAACTGCTCTTTGAGCCAGAACAGCATTTAAAGGGAGACAAGGAGAGGAAGCACAGTGAAGGCACATGGATGCTTCAAGGAGGCATAATGTTCTTTTACGATGATTGGGGCAGACACGGTGGTGTGCAGGGATTGGAAAGGGACAGAACAAGTGCTGTGTTACTTCATCCCCTCGTCATTAATTTCCTGACCTTCTGTGAAAAACTTAAAGAGCCTTTGGAAAGAAACACGTGGTTTAAATCTTAGGATTTTGTGGTGTTATATGTGAGGATAATCTAAACCCATGTTTGCTAGTGAAGAACTTCCTGAAAATAATTTCTTGCTGACGTGAGTTTTGCTTCTTTTGTGTCGGGTATGAACACTCATCTTGTCCCAAGCATAGCTTCTACAAGTCAGGAACAACCCAGTAAGTGAAAAGGCTCCCCACAGGCGAGCGGCGAGAGAGACTAGCTGTACCTACAAGCAAGAGACTCTTTCCTTAGCCTGCTCCAGTGCAGTGGGAAACTGCCTCGGTTCATTCTGCTCAGCCACCAAAGTAACTTGAGGTTCAAAACCCCTTGTCTGCAGACATCCTGGGCTTCTCTGAAATCACCTATGGATGGCTTTGCCCTCTTATTACTATACTAAGACAATCTGTGGTTTAAGGAGCTGGACAGGATGCTGGGCCATCTTGTCTAGCCTGTGCTCTTACCTAGAAAGGTTGGACTGAATTATCTTTGAGGTTCCTTCCAACCTATGATTCTATGATTCTATGAGTGTCCTGTTAAATTGTGGAAATCCTTGTCACAAGATACTAAAAGTTTACATGGGTTCAAAGCCAGCAGGATGATCTCATGGGAGAAAATTTAATACCTGGCTAATTAATACCAAGAGCCCACTTCTGGCTCAGGACATCTCCAAGTAGCAGGCTGTTGGAGGCTGAGAGACTCTTGTGAAGAAATATTGCTGTATGTTTGCCCTGCTTGTGTAGTCTTCCTGACTGTTCACTTTTGACTGGTGTCACTGTTGGACATAGGCGGACCTCCTGCCTGTCTTATGCTATGGCATTTTAAAATGCCTTTGGCTACTGCATAGGTGGATCATAGGTGGCTACTATATAACTGGCTACCAAAAAGCTGGATTTGCTTCTAGATGTCAATCCAACAAGTTCAGAGACCAGGAAGAGCCAGAAATAGGTAAAGCATCCTAGGGCATCTCTGCACTGTACAAACCTCAAGAGCACAGCAACCAGATGCAGCAGGTCTGGGTGAGAATTGGGAAACAGGGTAACTTACCAGGAAGAGTTAAAGACATCACAAATTCTAATGGACGTTAGAAAAGTAGATGGGGTGGGATTCAGCTCCATGTGAAGACATTTAAATTTAGGTGCCTACATGTGAAGCAGGTGCCTGAACTCGCCGTGTGGCACAAGGAAATCACGTCAGCTGAGAGAGGCACAGCTAATCCTCCGGAAGGCTCCTGCTGGCTGCTCAGCTGACTCGTGCTCTGGGCTTGGTACAAAAAAAGGCTTGATTCAGCTGCCCAAATTTATATGTTCAGTGCCATTTGAGATGCCCTAAGGTATCTGAGACATCCCCTAGGTCCGTCAGTTATGCCCTCAGACCTGGGAAGGCTGTGCCCTTCAGGAGGAGTCTCTGGAGAGCAGGGAATATCATGTAACAAGGGACACCTCTGTGTACTCTGCTGAACTAAGCCCTAGTTCTCAACCAGCTATACTGGAAGTATAGACACGTAGCACACATGTACCCACCTACAAGCAAACTTCTATATTTAGGTGTGTTTATCTGGATCTGAGGATCACATAGAGTATGCTGGAAAGTCTTGAGCAATGTGGACTGTGTTGAAGAAAGAGTGCCCTGGGCTACTAACACAACAGCAAGGTCAGCTTGGTTTGTCCCACGCTGCTCCGAGCAAAGCAGCAATATTACAGCCATTTTTAATTGGTGGTGACTGGCTAGCAGCAAATCAGATATCGTTAGAAAAGCAGTGTGCACTCCTGCAAAGCATCCTTAGAACTTGAAAAAAAGTAAGGTCACCCAAATATTATGAATTACGCATTTGGTCTGGAAATTATTAAAGTGCTTACTGGAGTTTTTGGTCACCCTCAACCACACTCATTAGGACAGTTTTTTACAAAAGCCCGTGTTTTGCCCCTGCCCTTATTCCTGCCCATTCCAGGAGCTCTGGCAGCTTTCCTTATAACACAGAGTTTCCTGAAGGTCGCCCACTGCAAAAAATTCAAATTAATTCAGTTTTCCCAGCACAGCACAGCATCTGCCCTGCGCTGCTGGGAACCCTCTGCCTCGCTGAGGGTCTCTGGTCCCCTCTGCCTGTGAGATACGAAGAAGCCAACAGCAGCATAGCTCTCTTATCCCTTTTCTGAAGTATTGATCCAAGGGAGTTATCTACTTGTGTATGCCCTTCTAGATGGAGGGTAGGGATGGGGAGAGGCAACATGGGGAGAGGCTGAGGAAACAGGGGAGCAGAAAATGCACTGGCATGTGTATAACAAACAGAGGAGGGAAGAGAGCCTTCCCCATCTGCTGGCAGGTTTTTTTCACACTTTGCTCTCTCATCATCTTCACCTCTTCACAATACACCCCCAAACC